TCGCTCCTGCTTGACTTTGACCACGTTGCTCTATCGCAACCAAGGACCCGGTACATTGGATCGTTGGTCAGCTGAGCAAAAGGTCAAATTTTTTCAGCGCTGTGCAGCCTGTCAGGATGAGCGTGTGTCCTGGGATACCGTTCGCTCGGTGGTGATCGAGACAGAGACTCATTCGCGGGCGCAGCAGAAAGTTACCCAAGTGACACAGGAATCCTTGCCTCTTGGCGTCTGGCTTCAGAGGGGCTATACTGAGCAGGCAGTTCTGCAATTTGCGACCGAAGAGGACCCAAAGCTGGGGCAACTGTACGCCGTGCCAGTCCAGGCGGACATATGGCGCGAGGTGCAGGAGACGGTCGAGAAGGAAGTCCTGGAGCGCGAAAAGGCCATATCACAGAAATCTTGTGGCAAACGCAAGAAGGGCGACGCAGAGGCAGAGGCCTTGGATTTGGATGTGGCCGCCGCGCCGAAGGCGTTCGCAGCCCCGAAGAAAGCACCAAAAGGTGCCCCGGCAGCTGCTCTCACGGGTCAGACACCGCGCCAGATGGAAGCCGCTCGTCGCAAGCAAGAGACAAACAACCAGAAGTGCGCTTTGTTTGCTGCGCAACATGTGGGAACCCTAAGCACTTGCGTGGCTGCGCTCGAGAAAGCTCACACCCAAGGGGAGAAGGCAAAGCTTGAGCCAGATCTTTTGCGGCAGGCTGTTGATGCATTGGGGAAGCTCCAGCCTTGGAAAAAGGCCTGTCAGGACATCGTCCATTTGGCGGAGGCCACCAAGGGCTTAGCCACGCCGCTGGGTCCCCTGGACTTCACCAAAGTAGATGTCAAGGACACTGTCAAAGCTGCCAACCGCGTGGTCAGCGACATTCGCTCGACTATGCGAGCTCTAAAACCTGAGAAACCTGAGAAGGGAGAGCGTAGCAAGAAGTCCAAGAAGGACAACTGAGGGGGTTTTGCAGCAATATGCAATGTATTGCGAAGAACTATATACACTTGCTGTGGAGTGAAAAACTTTAACGTCTGCTTAGCAACTTTCTTTTCTATCCTCTCTGTAGCAATCTTTCGGCTCTTTAGTTTTTTGGCATCGGGTTCTGGGCTATATATATATGATGTCGCGTCTCCCCCATGCTCCCCTATCCGAAAAGAAACGCAAGGCGCCAGGAATGGCTCCGGGAGTCCACGGTGTGCTTGTTTCGAACAAGCGAGTGCACTTGTGGGGTCCGCGCTTTGTGGATATCGGCGCCCACCACAACCTGAAAACCATGTTTGCCGACATGGCTCCGATTCAGGTGGACGATTCGGACGACGACTGCGTTGCACCGCCACAGGCCACCTGTCACACAACTATATGTGTGGAAGCTGCGCTGGCGCAGGAGACCGTGGACATCTTAGAGCCGTTGGAACAGGAGTTGCAGAGCCGCATGCGCCAGGATGGCCAACTGGCTTCGAGCATCATCCACATGTCAAAGGCTCTCGATGTCGTCCGTGGGATGCTAGACCCTGCTAAGGAATGTCTTTCTCAGACGGACCCGACAGACGCGCTGAGATTTGACTCCAGCGATGTAGCCCGTGTACACGACATGGTAATTAACTTGTTTTGCAATCTTCGACGCTTGTGATCAGCAGCCAAAAAAAGCGACTCCCAAAAGGTTCTGATCTATATATATCTATATGCAGAGTGCACTCATGTCACACATATATATGTTTTGGCTCAAGGTTGTTTCAGACACATGCCGAAACGAAAACGGTGCGATGACACTCGGGCAGCTATCCAAGCTTGCTTGGAAAATACACTTGCGAGCCAAAGAGACGCTGTGTACATTTGGAACGCGGCTGTGAGGTCAACAGCTAGGGAATGCATAAGCCGCCGAACCACTGCTGACGTAGAAGCATCTCGGCTAAGTCCAGCAGCGGACTGCTATATGCGTGTGCCTATGCGATCCAGCGATGCATCTTCAGACAAAACGCAAAAAGTCTGGATCGGCGATCTTCCCAAGCTGCTACAGTGGCTCGCGTCCAATAGTCGGGCGTGGCGCCAACACTTGATAGCGATGTTGCGGGAGAAGCCGGAAATCAGATTAGTGTTCTACTCCGACGAAGTGACCGGCGGGAACATCTTAGCTCCCGAGAAAAAGAAAAAGGCAGTTTTGGTGTATATCTGCCTGCGGGGCAGCCTCTACCACAGAGAGGCATGCTGGATCACCGCTGCATGTGTCCAACATCTGATGTTGGACAAAATCAGAGGTGGATTCACGGCCGTTATGCGCGAAATGTTAGTCGCATACATCGCGACGATCTGCTGACAGAGGGCTTTGAGTTGGAACTCGCTGGCGAACGCTTCAGAGTGAGGCTGTTGTCTCCAAGCCTGATGATTTCGGACCACGAGGCACAGCGGGCAACCTTTGGCATCAAGGGATCAGCAGGCCTGCTTCCGTGCATCAACTGTTGCAATGTTGTGAGTAAGCACGCTACTTCGATCCCCCCTGGTTTTGTCACCATCGCTGAATCTGATTTCCGGCGATTCGTGTGTCGAACAAACGAAGCGTACTATGAGGCGGCCGCTGCCATTCAGGCCGAACGCACGACATCCAGAAGATCTGTGCTGGAGAAGGCTTACGGTCTGAGATGGGCTCAGGATGGCCTTATGTTTTGCGAAGAGACTCGAAAGCATCTTCCCCCACAAGGGAGTTGCACGGACACTCTTCATGATTATTTCTGCAACGGGGTGGCTAGCTGGGAATGCGGCGCTATCTTGGAGCGCCTCCAAGAACGCGGACTCTCAGTGGCCGCCCTCCTTGACACCGCGGTTGCCAGTCAGTGGCGTCGGGAGGGAGAAGGACGAAGCTTCAGATCCAACACTTTGGGTAGAATGCTTGGAGAGAAGTATTTCGACAAGGGGGGCTTCCGCGGCTCCGGCAGCGACTGTTGTTTCTTAGTTCCCCTTCTGAATTACTATATGTGTTTGGTGGCATCCAGAACACATTCCCCGGACCCAAAGTTCCAATGCTTTGATGCGCTGGTTCGCGTCTGCAGAGAGTTGTGGAGACTGCAGTATAATCACCTCACACCTTTCAGTGACCACTCTGAAGTCCTTCCTTTAGCCTTACTGCAGCAAGAGCACCAGGAACAAGTGCTCCGCGCCTATGATTTGGACTTTGTGAAGCCAAAGCATCACCACCGTCTTCATATACCGAAGGCGTGCGTGCTTTTGGGCCGCTTGCCCAATTGTTGCGCGCAAGAAAAAAAGCACAGACACCTGAAGACGGGTGGCCTGCTTGACCGGACACACATGCAGGTCAACCGCTTCGATGCATGGCAACAAGCATTGCTTCCCCGCTTGCTGCAATTGTCTGCTGTACCAACGCATTGCTTCGAGCCGTGTGAACTGCGTGAGCCTGCGCGGCCCACCGATTACAAAACCAAGAGGGACCTGGGGGACGACTCTCTGCGAGAGAGTCTCATTGCCGATATAGGGCGAAGAAAGGTTGAAGTGGGCGATGTTCTGGTGTGGTCGGAGGAAGCTGGGCATGTAAAGCGTATCGTACAAGGCGATACGGCGAGGCTGCGGTTCCAGCTGATGCGCCTCCGGCATTTGTCACATGAGCCCTGGGGTAGCCGTTGGGAACTTTCGGACGAACTCCGTTGGTACGCACCACAGCCACGAAGTAGCTATAAAATAGCCATGTGGTGGCGCGTCGATGAAGACACTCGACAGATGTGGTGTTTGCTGTAGAAAAAGACACCGCGCGCAGGCATTTTTGGATCGTCTCAAAACCTAGATTTCCAAAAGCGGTCGGCTACTTAATTCCTACTTAGGTTCTACTTATAAGTTAGAGGTAAGTAGAAAATAAGTTTACGGGCTATGTTACATATATGTTACCCTAAGTTACTTACAAGTTCCGACAAGTACAGGCGTGACATTCAGTAGTAAGGCACTTGTTACTAGAAGCGATGCACTTGTTCCTGGTAGCTTATTGTTTCTACTAGCGAACATTGCTACTACTAGTAAGGCACTTGTTCCTAGTAGCGTGGCACTTGTTCCTAATAGCTTCTTTGTTACTACTAGTAAGGCACCTGTTACTACTAGCGTGGCACTTGTTACTAGTAGTAACAAGGTTTGCTACTCCTGTTTTTTCCTGAGCAGCTGGAATTTTCCTGATTTCCACTCATGGAATCCGTCAAAGTTCCGCAGTTCAGGCTTGGCATGTCTAGCCTTAGCCCACGAGACTCGTGTAGTACATAGTGCAGGTGATTCCAAGAAGTCTTTGGTTGAACTGTTAAACACTAGCAGTTGAAAGGTTGCTTCATCATTCCGCAGTGACGAAGACAATGTCGCTATGATTGGATGCGCGTTCTTGGTGTCCAAAATGCCTCTAAGAGCCAATGGATGCAGATTCCATTGGGGATGTCCATTTGATCCTTGGTGTTTTTGTTTGTTTCGATGAGTCGTTCCTGTTCCTTCAGAAGAGTTGAAAACAACTCTGAAACAAGACTTGGATTGAAGCAAGCAGTCATGAACACCCCATTCGAGGTCTTCTCTCTTTAAGTTGAAAACTATTACCAGTGGCAGTTCATCCCCTGGTGATTCCTGGTGCTGTAGAGTCCTTTTTTTCTGGTGAACAAAAGTAGCAATAAAAGGCCAGGGAGACTCGAGAGCCTGATTTCACCAGCTCCCACTCATGTTCGTACTGATCTGCAAGACTGGCGACGACAGTCGACTCATGTCATTGCCTTGCCCCACCTGCCACCTTAGTACTGCTACAAGGTTGGAGGCCATCGCTATTGGGTTGGAGGTTGTGTGTCATCCCGGCTGTGCCACCCGCTTTTGGTCACCACGTGTGAGTCCCGACCTGGCAGATGACTTGATTCACGATGGAGGGTTTCATGAGATGCTGTTCGACATGCACAACCGAGAGGCAAAGACAAAACCGTAGTCCATCACCCCATCAAACTACCTTGACAAGAGACTCTTGCTTTTAGATACTATTGTTTCCCTGATGAAGGACATGAGCGATTTGATACTGACTCTTCCACCGGAAGACTCTTGGCAACTGCCGGATTTTTTGTGGTTTGAGGAGGTGATGGGATGAAGATGGATGAAGAGTGAGAAAATTGCTAATTTTTGGAGATTGGGTCGGTGGGGTGATGACAATACTTTTTACATTTGTTTACCGGGCATAAGTTATATTCAGAATCTAGTAGTAACAAGTGCCACGCTAGTAGTAACAGGTGCCTTACTAGTAGTAACAAGGTTCGCTAGTAGTAACAAGTGCCGTACTGTACGGTTTTTCCCGACTTTCGGGCAGACTAAGAATCGACCACTGTACATGAACATAGTTGAACGCAAGGACTGTCCGTGTGTTAGCAAGGTTGAGTGTAGTGCATCGACATTTGCAGCCTCCTTTCCTACACAAGCCCAGGGCGAAAGAGCGTGGGCTTCCTAAAAGATGAGGGTAAGACAATATTTTTTTCATTTATACGAGGAACCCCACATGAAGGAGGCTTTGTAGTATAGGTCATTATACGTCGAACACCTAGCAAGAAGAATCAAACTTACGGTCTACATTTGTCTACGTTATTACACAGTTTAGCAAAGGGAGGAGGGACACGGGACAACCAGAAGCTGCATGGAACCTGCAAAACCAAAACGGAACCACCAAGAAACCGATACCTTTCTGATGAACATGCTGCGAGTCCAAAGCACTCTAAACTGACCGGTGACCACAAAGATTGAGGACGTCCCGTGACGTCCCTATCAAATTCTGTCCTACGCTCGGTAGTTTGTTTGACTTGTTCATGTGAAATCCACAAGTCTGGGAAGCCACCGTGGGATAAGGGAGCCACTTGGTTTGTCGTCCGGTGGGAGTATGAATCTTTACATTGAAACAACGTGTTCATGTCGGGAGGGCGCGGAATCTCGGCTTGAGCATGGAGCGGGCTCTTGACATGGAGGCCACAGATTCCTGACAGCCTTATGGCCTTATGTAAAGCACCCAGTCTAGCCATCCAAAAAGCTATCAAACTGGTCCCGGTATACAAAGCAGCTGGTCACTGTGATAAGCTGGTCAATGTGTTCTACACATACTCATTGCTGTCCGTCAGACACGACGGAGCCGACTAAGTCGGTGCCTGTCCGACACCTGGCCGTGGCACGTCACCGAAGTCGACTGAGCGAGGCCATCATTTAGGGACTTTGTCACAGCGCTCTTCCTCTGGCTGCTTGGCATGGGAGTTACAGTCTGTTAGCCGAGTTTTGTAGCAGCGAGCCAAGATCTCTGAAATGGACGCTTTTCGGTTTCTGTTGTTGGCATCACAATCACAATCATATCGCACCTACCAGAGGTTTGTGGGGGTCCCATATGTGTGCTGATACATATACATAAGATTACACAAGACACTTCCCTGGTGCACTGCTGCCAAGACAGCTTCTGTAAGATGCCAAGATGGTGGTCGTTCACAACAGTCAGAGTAGAGAGCAAGGAGCTTTTCTCAGCAACGAGGTTCTCTCAAATTGCTCCTTCCGAGCATGTGTTGGCGAAGTCCTTGAAATGATCCAACGCATGGGACTTCAACATAAACAGTTGCTGCACCTGGGCAATCTAAGCATATCAAGGCCAAGTACGGTATATGGTTTGCATGTAGCAGGGATACTGCGGATGGCCATATCAAACCACCGTGTTTTTATCCAAACCTGCACTTGGCATTATTCACGAAAGCTGGTGGTTATGGGGGAGAATCAACATGACCGCGCGGAATCAATGTGTGAAAGATGTCATTGTCAGGGGTCGCGGTGTGGGTTATGTGACCTCGAGATTGATGTGTTGTTGGTAAAGGCTTGACCAAACACCATATCCCTCCTACATATGCATCATTGATTTTGCTTTTGTCTGAAGCCTGAAGCCCAAGTTGCCAAACAAGAACAAAAGGCTGGCAGAACAAAGAAGAAGAAACACTTTCAGCACACCAAGCTGCTACGTTTGAAGACACCTTCTAGACTGTGAATTGTGAATATATAGACCGTTTCACAAACAACCACTAGATAGCTGGTTCAGCTCTCCAAATTGCACCTGTTGGAGCACCGGTCGCCGAGTCCGGTGTGCGCGTGGCAAAACACGGTTAGACCATTGATCCTTTAGAACTATACAGACCAGAACCACTGGTGTTCTTCAGATCATATCAACCACCCCACTGAGTTCAAAAAGTGTCAGTTTAGGCCTGGAGACCAAAATCGTGTTTTTTTGTTTAAAATGTTGTTTCCCTGCCAACCAGCTGTACTTCTCCACATAACAAAATAATTTGCATAGTGGTGGTCATTCAGTTGACACGTTACAGTGAAATCGTTCTGTGCCATGTGTTGGCTTCCGTGGGTGTGACAGTTCCATGAGTGTGACACTCAATGTCATTGGCCCAACATCCGCTCGCTGCGGGATGTATATAGATGTGTGTTGGATTTGTTGGGGTTGAACATTGAACTAGGAGCAAGGACGCTGCTAGGGGCTACTAGGAGCAAGAACGCTACTAGGGGCTCCTGGCCTTACTACTAGGAGCAAGAAGCTATAGGGGCTACATGGGCTGGACATCTCTTGACGAAACCCGCCTGGTGGGTGTGGAGAGTGGACCATCTTTGCCGCACAGTCCCAGGGAACTGAGCCCTTCTTGTCCTCGTTGTTTTTTTCCCCATGTCTGTGCTGAGAGTGTTTCTTTTGGTCCCATGCCAAGGCTATGCATCCAAGTGGAACACACAGGAGATGAAATCGTCAAAGCTTGCTCAGACTCAGGTGTCACTGGACTCGAGCAAGGCTGAAACATGTTGGAACTACGCACAGCTCTTTTTCTCATGTCAAGGCGGTGAAGTTATTTTTCTTTTGGGGTGAGCGTTCTTCCTGCCAGTGCATGATGGCAAAGTTATGTTTGTTGTTGAAAGTCGCTGTATTAAGTTACTTCCGAAAGTCGCTGGCGACCTGCTTTCGATCCTACTCATTATATACTTGTTTTCCATCCTGGCTGAGAGAGCAGTGGCATTGAGAGAAATGGTTGACATATGTTGACATAGTGTCTTTCTTTTTAATCGTGTACCTCCTGTGAAAGGAATATTTCGGTCAGTGATTGTACAAACATATTTTTGTGGTGGTGCCAGAATCTCTTCTGTCAACACTAGGGCTATTCACCTAAATCCGCGGAATCTCAACAGCACCCTACAGCTCGTTGTTCGTTCATGCAAACAGCGTGGCCGCAGGACATCACCAGTTCCAAGGCGTGTGGAATTTCTGCTGCTAGGTGGTTGGGGAAAGGGCCAGGAAGAAACTTGGAATCCAATCAAAAGGGTAGACATAAATAGACACCATAGCCCACGGTAGATGAACATGCCAGAATAGACAATTGTGTACATTTCTGCATGTTCATGTAGACAGGCAAGCTTGCCTATATCAAGCGCCTTGAAAGGGAAAAGGTATTGCAGTAATGGTGTATATAGGGTACTGGCCTTGACCAAGACCCATCAATTTGTAGACAGGTGTTCAATCAAAGCCTACTTTGCACATTGGCACATTCCTTTCTTTACTTGGGGATTCACAAGGGAACAGGACGTACCTGGCCCCAAGCAGACAAATATGTTTTTTCTCCAATGCATTCCAACATGCACATGTGCTTGAGGCTTTGTATAGGCACCAATATACAGCAGACGGCTGCTGTAAGTATGTGTTGCAGCCTAAGGCAACAACCCATGTGGTAAGATGATGCTGTACCTGAGCAGGTGTTGATCTACCCGCTGAGTGGTTCACTGGTTCACTTTGACATGTGTTGGGGGGTTGGATTTGCACACTAGATGTGAACAGGTCTATGGAGTCTATGGTTCGAGGCACAACAAAGCTAAGGCTGAGGGTGGAAGGACCCGCTGGAACGTCCAAGGGAGAATGGTCGCAAAGTTGGGGGGCCACCTGATTCAAGACCTTCATCTTGGATGTGCCCCCAGATTTGATACGTTTCTCTAGTGGCTTGCAGGAGTTCATTATAATCATCGTCCAGACGTGGGTGGGGCGATATGTGACTGTGATACCTTGGAATGTGGATGCCTCCCTCAATGCGGCCCTGTGGCCTGCAAGCCGCTCCAGGAACTTGCGTCCTTGCGGCGAGCGAGGATGCCCCACCTGGAGCGGGCAAACATGCGAACATGGGTCAGCAGATCTGCTTGGTTGCTTGCGTTGGGTGGCTGATTGGTTGGCCTGGGTCGTGCGTGAAAAAATGACATGTATATCAAGAGACAACCATTGTGCATCATTGTGCACGTCATGAGCGTACCGAAGTCTTTTTGTGCAAGACAAAAAATGCCGAGTCTCTTTTGAAACGTCCATGGGCCTTGTGAGTACACAGTAAACAGTCCAGCACGGACAAGTCTGCGCAATTTGCTGCATTGTAGGTCTTCAAATGCCTGCCTCTCCAAGAGTATTTATTGTAGTTCTAAGCGGCAGGCACACACATTCAGATATAAGTTGGTTTGCTTTCACCTGTCACTCACCCTATCTTTAGAAAGCAACCAACCCTTCCCTGCAATGTCCATTTGTTGAGATCCCCAAAAGCCATTCTCAAAGTAGGATCCCCAAAAACATCCAAAAACCATTTGTTGTTCAGCATTTTTCAGTCTAACGAGCCTTTGTTTCTTCCAAGCTTGGCTCTGCTTTTTCCTAAGCTTGGCTCAAAAGGCTTCTCCAATGCAAAAGCCCGACTCAAAATCGAAGTCGCTTCGCGACGGCACGGTGGTCGCTTCGTTTGGGAGGAGCCACCAGCTGAGAGGAACCATTCTGGAGCCTTGTAGCGCCACCAGGCCACTTCTTCGGCGCTGGAAGATGTGGAAGATGCCCAACGGAGGGTGCTGACAAAAAGAAGTGTGATCCAGAGGCATCCCCAAGGTCCACCAGGTTATAAATAGAAGGATTGTGGGCGACCCACTTTGGGAGAGTGAACAGTAATTTATTGGGCATTGTTGGGTAGGGTTAGGGTTTGATCAGCATTATATATAATATACTGTATATATACAAGTTTTAAGGAAATAGAATACTGTAAATGAGATGGGTCCAGGAAGCATTGATATGCATTAGAGGCGGTGGAGAAGGATAATTGGGTGATGAGGAGACTGAAGATATGGAAGAACATCAATTGGTTGAGATGCAGGATGCCAGAATGGATGGTCAGTATCAGAGTACACCTGGGAAGTGTGAAGTGATGGGAAATTGAATTGTGCATAACAGGGCATAGCTAAGTGCAGTAAGAACCAATCATCATCCAAGAGAATCAGATGGAGTTTAAAGAAAGGCGGTATACGGGGTTCAAGACAGTCATTAAATCGCAAGAAAGGGGTCACTCAAAAGAAAAGGGGTCAACGAACGTAAATAAATTGGATGAACTTGCTTAGCATTGCAAAAAGAGTGGCACCAAGAAAGGTGGACCAACTCAATTGTGGGGGTTGTCCCATAATATTGAAAAAATAATGGACGGCGAGTGTTGCAGGAACAAGGCGGACCAAACAAACAGGGGGGTCCTCAATCATGGCTTTACGTGTTTGTTTGCTTCATCCAGTTGATTTTATTACCAGAACCTCCACGACAGTGTCACTCCTTTTTAACAGAAAGGAATGATGCAGAGATGGGACACCGCTATCTATCAGGTCCACTGGTTTCTCAAGAAACCAGTAACTATAGCCAGATAGGCTTTGCCAGCAAGGATGCTACTAGGGGCTCCTGGCATCGCTACTAGGAGAACTGAGAGATGCCCGATGCCCTTATTCGCCGACCTAACTTACTCGGTCGTCCCGACGTCACTATGATGATGCGGCTCGCAGTGACTCTCTCGGCACAGAATAGGCAAACCTGACCAAAGCTGGATTGATTTGGTCTTTTGTGAAGTATAATGGCCTTGTAGCAGAAGGACTTTTGAAGCTAGCCCACCTTGCAACGAACTGGGCCTGGTGCTTCTTCAGGGCATGGCGCCATGTGTTTTCGGGTGTTTTTGAGTTCCGTCCAGTTCGCGAACCAGTTCCTTTTTGCTCCCCAGCCACTCACCAGGCCTGCCACCAGGGTGACCGAAGTGCGTGAGAAATTCAAGAAGATCAGCCCGGGAGAGATCCCGAGATCATGCCAGTATATCCGAGCAGTGAGAGACATTGGACCACTGATGGGTGGCTGGCACCTGAGACCGGGTGCGCGGCATGTTCCAAGTGTTGGTGTGAGACCGAACCCTGAAAAACACCTCAAGGGTGTCAGGAGCCAAGACATTATGCAAGGAGGGCAAGTTCTTCCTGCGTTCACTTCATTCAGTGCCTGCTATAGGCATGGAATGGTGTACCAAGTTCTGCAATTGATGCATTGTTGGATGCATCCAATAGGGGATTGGATGGTGAGTCGCACGTGGTTTGTTTAGCCCCTCCCCACGACAGTCAACGACTACACTGGCAAACTGGCAATTCGTATCTCTATGATTCTCTATGTATATGTACATGTATGTACATATATAAATAATATGTATATATATATATTATGGAGATATGCTTTACCCTTCAGACTGGTCGCCTTCCCATGGGGTATTCAAGTGAAATTTTTGAGGCAAGAGATCTTCACCAACCTGCCTGGATACCTGAAATATTCCTGAAATACCGTCAGAGTCACTGTTTTCCCCCGGCTGACATGGATTTCTTCTGGACAACAGCTGAGCTGCCAGGCTCGTCACACAGTCTTCACGGAAACATCGGCCTCGCCACATGCCTCTTCGTCCATCCCCCTCCAGCCTCCAGCTTAACTGTGTGGATCGCATACGGTATAATTACATATCACATATATATATATATATTGATAGCATAATTACACCGTCTAACAGCAGATGTCCACTGGACGTAGGGCCAAACTACTTTACTCCTGGCACTCACCAAGCTAGCATTGCAACCCAGAAGTGGGTTGGGCAGAGGATGTTCTTTGTTTGGAGCAAGGTTGTATAATCTACAATTTCATGAGTTATACTGTGTTTGTTACCTATCTTTGTGTCACGGTTCTTCCTGGGCGAAACTACTAGGAACACGTTGACAACAGGGGACCCTTTCAAGGGTAGTTCGGATGAAGTGCTCCGACACAAAGTTTGTACTCCTCCTTTGTAGGTTGCTAGTCACACTTCGTCACTCCGTTGAAATAGCAGTTCACAGGGATTGGTAAATCAAAGGACTCCAAAGGGTGTAGCATGTTGTAGCATCCTATTTTTGACACTCTAAAACAATGCCAATGGAGGCCTTCCAAGTGCTAACAGCGCGTCATCATGGGCGCTATAATGGTGTGAAATTCTCACTGACTCACTGATCCAGCCTCAATCCATCGCAGAAGAGAACTCATGAAAGTCAGACAGCGACAAAGTCGTGTTTGGCTTGCGTGCTTTGTTGGATGGTGGATTAAAAAAAGAAGGTTATATAATAAGTTAGCACCTGAGTCCACAGGTCTTGCTTTGAGTATGTTTGAGCAGGGCGTTTGATTTGCCCTCAGCCGGGCATATTTTCGGCCCCATCAGCCCGGTCATTGATTTAACATGTTGGATTGCCGGTGTTCCTGAATCTTGATCCACCCAACAGCTGGCCTTTTAAACATATGCGGCAAATCGGTTGGATTTGCTTTTTCCCACAGCGCAGAATGGAGGCGTGACGAGCAAGTGCCAGAAGAGAGGAAGGAAAAAACCTTTGCTTTTGTGGGCTGGTTGGAACACCAACCTTTCACCTCTTCGCTGAGCACATCCTCAACTCCAATCCCAGCCCAGGAACAGTTGATCACCTGCCCAACCCTTTTGGGGGATTGGGATTGGTGTCCTTATGAAAAACGGACAGGTGGAGTTGACCTGTATTTCTACGGAAACCTAAGGGGTACCTGAACTCTCAGTTTTGTATAGTTTTGTGATATGCTGTACGGTTGCAATGTTGACTACAAAGTTTTTTTGCATTGACAACAAAGTAAGTTTCCGCGGATTGTCAGGTAATCGGTGCTGTTGTACAATGTTGAAGCCTCTTTGGGAAGATGTCTTGGAAGATTTGTGTTCAAAGATGACTTGTGGGAATGCCACGTGCAAAACGACCCAACTGCCTTACCTGTCGTTCAAGAACCATGTGGTGGCTAAACCTATACAGACCTGTTCTTCTGAGGCTCGTGCTTGTTTACTTGCATTCCTTTCTTGCTTGGTCAAGTTGTGGAGTTTGCTCTTCCAGATGTCCCAGAAATGTTTACAACACTGAAATACACTGAACATGACCTTGTAAAATAATCGTGCCGCAGAGGTTTCAAGAACAAAGCTCTTTGAAAGCATCATTTTAGGATGCTCCCCTGGATGCTCCAGGTGCGACTTCTGTGCCGAGGACTTATTCTTGGAAGAAAGGCAATTGCCCCTTGACACATGCCAGTTCTTCATCAAAGTTTGCACGGCCTTGCTATTTGTTGATCAACGGTCAAAGTTTGGAAGGAACCTCGCTTGGGAGGGTCAGACCAGGATTAAAACTAATCACTAATCGCTTACCCTGGATCTAACAACCCGTGAGGGCCCATGTTTTTTCACTTGTTGGGGACAGGAGGTTTCTGAATACATACCACAGTTCTAAGTTCTATGTAGCCTTTGGGACGTGTGTATATATACATACAGTATATATTGAGGACCATGGTGGGAAATTTGGGAAAGTTGTGGAACATGCTTGCAGCATATAGCTCAAATGCACAAAGGGACATGTCATTTGCATTGGAGGCATGCTCAATCATGTCAGTGCCGACGACCCTCAACCACCAAGTCGATTTGGAAGGTGGCGTTCCGGACCAAACAGAGGAAGCTGCCTTGGATCAAATATGTATATCGTGCATACATGACATCATGGAGACCCACCAACATGATGTTGGAGAGAGGATGTTCCTTGCTGACATGGAGTCTTGTAATTATGCATTGCTGACTGGAAACATATCAACAGGACAACCAAACATTTGGGGAAACATACGGTCTCAACGAGACTTGCACAGTGCGGATGGCGATGACAGGAAGGCACTCTCGTGCGGGTGTGGGTTGCACTCAGAGTAAATTGAGAATTTGTGCCCTGTGGGCCACTGTGGGCCATTGAACATCTATCACTTTATTGATCGAGCTTGTGTTTTTGGAACCTGTTCTCGCATATTGACCACATGATTGGAAGACACAAGAGGGTCTTCAGGAATTTGCTTTAGTATTCTGAAACTATATTAAATATTTCGATCAAGATGAACATGCATGAGCAAGCCCACAACAGAACACACATGGCCGCAGTTCACCACACAATGCACAAGGTTGCAGCCTCCGTTTTCACGGTACCAACGACACAATGTAAAAGGCTAAAGAAGCGCAAAAGAAGTGAGAAACCTGGCCAAAGTATATCCGTTAAAGCTGACGTCCGTTAAGCTGACATCCGTCCCTCAATCCAGATTTCAGGATCCTCAGTTCGAAAAGCACATCTGAACGAGGCCCGCCTAAGTGGTATCCATTGAGCCTAAACACCGCTGGTGGATCACAGTGGATCCTGCTTTCTAGCCTTGTTAATGGATCGTATGTTGCTTGACTGTGTGTTTTTCTTTCCAGGAATCATCGGAAGAGTATGGCTAATATCGCCCAAACTTTTGAGGCAAGACCTTGAGATTGAGTCGCTGGAGAACCAGCTTCATCTCTTGAAGAGCAGACGAAGCTGTTGAATGATCCGATTGTTTGATCCGTATTCTGCTTCAGAATTTGATTGCCCAGTCGCCTAATCCGCCTTTTGCTCTAGCAGATCCGACTTGGCCAGCTGGAGCAGTCTTTCGCTCCAAGTCGACCTGACTGCCCAGATGGCTGATCTGTTGCTTCTGTGATTGCTACGGGATGGCGTTCTCCTCGTTTGAGTCGTTTGACTAAGAGAGCAGTGGAAGAGATTCTGCTTTGGCAAGTAGAAGGCCTTCTTCAAGGGATCGCAACCCACACAAGGACTAATTCCACGTGAACTGCTTGAAGGCAGTGACTCCAGCCGCAGCCTGACAGAATATTCTGCCCAGCCAGAAAGCAAGAAAACAAGATCTTACCAGCCAGACACACCCAGCCAAAGCCTGCTGGGCCAAGTGGAGGCAGCCAGGCTTTGGCTTAGCCAGGAAGGTGGAATAGGTGATTGGGTAAGCACTGCACCCAATGAAAGCACTCGAGATTATCCCATCTCAAATCAATGTGTGGCTGGTGTGATCCGGTGCAACTCGACAATCCTTTTTAGGTTGAAATAAAGGGCAATGGGCCCATAACTGGGTGTACCGGTGGAGTTGCCCTTCAAGAGTCACCGGTCAGAACTAGCTCGCAGGCGGTTTGAGCTCGTTGGGTGAGAAATCCAAACTGGTTGAAGATGGATCAGAGTAACAGGCCATAACAGGCCTATATTTATGCTTCTGTGGAATTTCAGTCTCAGCCCAAAGTGCACTAAGTGCACTATCATCTCACAAGCCCAGGTCAACAAGAGGACTCATTGATCGGTATAATACTGGGCTGGGCTAATTATATAGACATGTTTTTGTGGAGGCTCAGTTTACAGATGTTTGCAGGAAACCACGCAACCATAGGTTCCAGGACACAATGCTGTTTTCAAGGGATGTGGCTATTTGAGTTTCATGTTGCAGAATAAGGGGACCACGAGCGCCATCATCCAATCTTCCTTGGACCAACTGTAAATGAAATGGGTGTCTCACACTGAGACCTCGCAGGGCGCCACTCCTTTGCAGATCTACGTTTGCTCCGAAGGAAGAGGTTCACCAAGGTCTAGGCTACGAAGAAAGGGGGTCCAAGCCCATGAGACCACTCTCGGAGCTCGGCAGGGGTGAGATGGCCAGATTCTGAGAGTATCGATGGAGGCAGAAGAGTCCCAAGCCAACCAGAAGAAGTTCATAGCTTCGTAGATTTTACCATGTGTTTGACTTGTGCATACTTGTGCTTAGTAGGAATGAGGGAATGGATCCAGTGGAATCTCTATTGGGGGCTCATTCCCTTATATATTCCCTACGAGTCGCACCAGTCAGTTGAATGAGCCCAACCTTCTTTCGACCTCATGTCCATTGGACATGCACAATTTTTACATGTCCCTCGTTCTTCGTCCATCATCAAAAGTACTTGAGGTCAAAGGGTCAAAAGTGCTGTGTGACAATGTGCTGGGTCGGAGCCCGACACGAACGTGCCGATGCTTTGCATTCATGCAGGGTCCAGGGTCTTAGTATTTGTTTGCAGTTAACACCGGACCACAGCAATTTGAGCAATATGACCCACCAGCCCAAATTGGACACCGCCTTTGTTTTCTTGCTTTTTGAAATCTTTAGAACCAGCAACAACGGTGATTGCTCCTTGAAGGCTGATCGGTTCCACGGGATAAGTTGGCATTCTACCATGGGTCGTATCGAACAACATCGAACAACCCAAGGACATCAGTGATTCTATGTGCACAGTCTTTTCAATACAGAAGAACCGATGATTCTCCTCACCGGCGAGAAATCCCATGTCCCTTTAAGATGGGACACTACTTTCATATGATCTCACCGCCAATCGGGAGGCCCAAGTTCTTGAATGGTGGCGAAGAGTGTCTACTAACTGGACCCTCCAAAATGTGTTTTTGGCACCCCACAGTTGGTGTCTTGAACAAGGAAAGCAATGATTTGCTATAAAACATTATAAAACTAATTCAAACCTATTGTGTGGCATTCTCCCTATCTTCATTAAGTTCCCAACCGAATCCACCTGTTGGAGACTCTTCCCACCCATCCGGTACCGACCCCCTCCCTGCGTCAGCAGCCGTCAGCGCCGCGACTCCCCTGAGGTTCCTGTGTCCTCGATCTTTGCGGAGGCCTTTGAGATGGACCACCATCGAGAGGCATCATAGAGCAGAACGATCTTTCTCGCGGTGAAATCCGGAATCCGGAACCTTTGGGTCAACTGTTTGGGAGCCAGTTTAGATCGGTTTAGCGGCGAAACGAAACACTCACGGCATGGTGGAATATCAAGACCATGATAGACTTCACATGTTGAGCGTCAGATATGGAGGAAATATAGGCCGCCGGGTTTAGTCAAATATGTTTTTTTTTTTTTTTTAAACAATATATATATATATATAATATATAATTCAATGTACAACCAAAGCCCAAAATAGAGCAATGTTGAAGGCGTCCTTCACCAAATAAAGACTACAAATTTAGATGTGGCGCGCTTCCCTCACACAAGACAAGAGCTTCCTCATTTTCGCAGGTAGAGCCGGCGTGGGACTGTCCACGGCTTGCCCCTGCACATGCCAGGCACAAGCAGCCCTGGCCTTGCACGAGGCGCAGCGAAGCAGGGGCGAGGACATGTTTCCTGTGCGCTGGACATGTTTGAGACATGAAATGACATGAAGGTTTGGAAGATCTTGGAAGTGTGCCAGACTCACTGGGAGTCTGTAGAAGTTTGCGACGTGTCCTATCAAATGCCCTGCCAACATTTGCCAACTGACTTTTGTACTTTGCTGTTTGTATTGTGTTTTTTGTTTGAGCGTTTATATGTTGATTATACCGTTCATTAATCATCATGGGTTTCGAAGACTGGTGCACTGTGAAGGTAATTGGTTTGTTTCCCCTGAACCTGTGAACCACAGCCTGAGCTGCCTAATTCTCATGTCATACACCGTCCCTTCTGAAGGGCCACCGATTGGGATCGGTCCATGCACTGATTGGATCGGTGTCGCCTCGTTCGTTCGGAACGAGGATCGTCCTCACAAGTTTGTTTCACCAAACGATCGTCGTTCTCTCCGCGTGCGATTACGCCATGCCGCTGGATCACACGACCCCATTTCTTTTGTGATCCGATCAGTCCCTGAGTGACCATTCCCTGTCAGAAGTGAGCCTTGGAAGTTACCAACTATAGCGGACCTGTGAAGTACTGTAGATTGCGATTGGCGTCGATCGGAGTGAAAACGTGACAGCTAGACCTGAGATCAAAGGAAATAGGCTGCATGTTGCACCACTTAAGCTGGTTCCCAAGCCCGAACGCAAAGGCACGAACGCACTTCTTCCCTGGGGCACGCCCCAAGCACCGGCGGGAGACGCAGGACAGGGTGGAGTGATGTGGAGATGTGGAGTGTTTTAAAAGGTCGAAGAACTGCGCCGCAACTGCCAGCAGGACGAGTTGTGCTGGAGAAAGACGCCAATTCACCACTGTAAACCTTGTACTTAAACCAATCCCCCATGGCATTTTGGCTTCGTCGACTCCAGTCCCGTGGGTCGAGAGAGAAACCAGGTCTCCGTTTGCATCGGAACGGCTGTGGACCCGCGTGAGGAGAGATGGAAAGGTGTTGTCGCAATGACTCACAAATGAACATAGATGAACCTGAGTGCTTTTCTCAGCGGCTGAAGCATTTGATGTTTGAGTTAGTTACTTTCTGGGTGTTCCTCCAGTGTGACCTTAACGTGTCAACGTCCGCGAATCGGATTCCCAAGGTGTCGCTCTTTTGGACGAGGGTCATCATCGCGCAGAGCTGTGTGACTGTGTGATGATGGAGTCCATTACCGACACCACCCAAGCCGCCCATGCCTTTTATTGTGTGAGAGTGACCGTGGTTCCATGTCACGACACCTTTTCCCTGTGTGTGTCGGCCTGAGTTTCGAGTACCGCCAACTGATGTTGGCTCAAGCTTCGCGCCTTGGAAAAGGCTTCGCACTGCCGCTCCAGTTTCAAACTGGCAGCGGAGCCGGTTGATCCGGCTTAGCTACCTTTGTTTCGCCCGGTGCGCTCCATGGCGCTCCTGGATACCCTCCGCTACGACGGCGGCCAGTCCGCCACCTCACTTGCAAATGCTGAGGATGCCAACAGCGAGGGCAAGTATGGCATCCCGCGGTTTGGTGGAGAACCGCATGGACTACAAGAGTACCTCTACAGGGTACGAGCTCGCGCCGCTCGAGAAAGCCACATGGACCCCTCCGAGGTGAAGAAACTCGGACCCTTAGGACTACGCCTTCTAGAAGGGCTTCGTGGCAATGCGTTCAAGCTGGCGCAGCAGATCGAGGTCTCCAAGCTGGGTGAAAAGGACGGTCATGAAGCCCTCCTGCTCCTGTTTGAGAAGTCGCTCAAACCCAGGAAAGACCTCGAGGCCAGGGAACTATATGCTGCAGGTGCACGAGATGGAGGACTTCTAGCTCGCCAGACAGGCGAGGCCATGAGCAGCTACGTGCTCCGACGCCGCACGTGGTGGTCACACCTCCAGCAGTTGGATGACTCCATCCAAGTCTCGGAAGGCATCCTGGCCGAACAGATGTTGCAGAATAGCGGATTGACTGATGACCAGAAGCTCATGATCCGCACGACCCTCCACGGCAAGCTGACAGTTGACAAGGTTGGCAATGAACTGCTCAATCAACACCCGAGGATCCAAGATCGAGAACGACACCTACCTCGGCGTGGCTTCAACAGCTTCCGTGACCACAAGAAGGACTGGAAGGGTCGCAACAGCCACAAGGGCTATGGCAGGTCATACCAGGCCATGGATGAAGTTGATGACAATGAGTCCACCATCCCATGGGACAGCCAATCTCAGTCGCTGGCTGGCTTCACTGAGGACATCACCTGGGACGATGACGACGACCTGTCCTACCACTCCGTGGATGATGGTGAGAACTTCATGGCTGAGTATGTCTCCTGGTACCTTGATGAAGGTTTGGACTTGGAGAGTGATGAAGCATGCGCTCTTGCAGCTGAAGCCCTCCAGCTGGAATATGAGGCCTACTCGTTGAGGCACAGCGCAAAAGGCAAAGGCCATGGTGGCTTTTC